CCAATCACAATTAGTCTGTGTCAGCAGACTAATTTAGAACACACAGAACAAATTACAATCTAAGGCCTGGGGCCGTAACACCTGCCTACCATTGAACGAATCCTAATGCTGCACACAAAGTGAAACCGGCTGATGAATCAGGCTACATTTCTTCAACGTCTTCAGCGTAAATACAGGCTACAAATATAAACCTTAGAGCAGTTTTATGATGTATAAAACATATGAATGAATGAATAAAGTATACTTTGAACATGAAATAAGGCATAGAAAAGCATCAATGTATCCAAAATAAACACTATACCCAGCTGTTCTACAATCTCTATATTTAAAAAATTTAATAATAATATACTTATTTATATAAAAAATATCCCAAAATAAACTTTCGTTAACCTTGATTATATGAGTCTGGAGATTGTTTAAAAAACAAATCAAAATCGTGATCAAAATTCAATCAATTGCCTTAACGTTCAGGTCTGTTTTTGAGGCGGTAACAACATTATAACATGGCCTTAAGCTGCACGATGTAACGTTTTGGCTGGGTTTGGTCACCTGCTTGTTTCTATGGAGATGTCATTGCTCTGCCTGGAATGTTCCACAGTGTGACATTAAATAGCTCTACTTTACATTTATTCAATTACAGGTGGTTTTATAGCTCAAAAGTACCTAGAAAAACAACATTCTAACTGTGAGCGGAGTCGCCTCTCCACAGATCTGCCTTATAACTTGGTCTGGATTGGTCTCCATGATGATAGAAAGGTGTAATATCATACTGTGAAACATTCCAGACAAAGCAACAACATCTCCACGGAGAAAAGCATTTGACAGACCCTCAACCACAAAAGTTACACAATGCATTTGATATTTTCCCAGATGTTCCAGCTCGAACCGCACATACATTACCCATAATCCTCAGGTGAACCACGGGGCCAATTTAAACGGTTATATGCTCACAGTTAAAAGGTCAGCGGCGGGGCAGTGTGATCGCGCACGGGCCCCTGAGGTTGCATTACATCGATCTGTACGGCTCCTCTCTGCTTATACGCACCATCTCATCCATCTTGTGTGCGCTGTGCTCCAGGGGACAGCTCCAGTCTGCTCCGCCGCTCGCCACAAAACTCCAATTAGAACCACACAGCACCGACCACAGCACTTTTAATGAGCTATTTTCAACAACATGGCGATGGAGACGCAGTATGAGAGTATGAGTACTAGTATGAGAGCTGTGGTTGTGGATATGGCTGCGCTAATTGCACTGAAAAACGTCCTTACTGTAAGCAACACAGACTCTTACATGGTCTGGAAATGATGTTCTTTTTGGCTGTTGATACTTTACAATCTGTGTATTATTCGTTCATTTTTTATTTTATTTTTTCAAAATAAAACTAAAAATAAGAAAACCAAAAACATAACTTTTGGAAAAAACAGATAATGGCCAGAACTGAGACCAGCACTGAGACCGGGACCAGATCGGGACCAGACAGGGACTGAGACCCGGTCTCAATCCTGATCACCGGGAAGTCTACATGGGCACACCTCCAGGCTCGTCCCGACACTCAGTCTTGGTGTAGTCCTGGTTCAGTCCTGGTTTACTCCTGGTTTAGTCCTGGTTCAGTCCTGGTTCAGTACTGGCTCAGTCCTATTTTAGTCCTGTCTCAGTTCTGGTTCAGTTCTGGTTTAGTCCTGGTTCAGTCCTATTTTACTCCTGTCTCAGTTCTGGTTCAGTCCTGGTTTAGTCCTGGTTCAGTCCTGGTTCAGTCCTGGTTCAGTCCTGGCTTAGTCCTATTTTAGTCCTGTCTCAGTTCTGGTTCAGTCCTGGTTTAGTCCTGTTTGAGTCCTGGATTAGTCCTGGTTCAGTTCCTGTTTTAGTCCTGGTTGTCCGTATGCAGCGCAAAAGTTCGGCATCACAGTTTAAGTTACGGAAACAGGAAACAGGTCATTATCCGTTTTTTTTTTTTTTCTATTATTAATTTAAACACATAATCGAAAACTGAAAAAACTAATCGTTATCCATTTTTTTTCATTTTAGTTTTGGAGACAGATAACGAAGAAAATAGTTGATATTTCATGTTCTTATTTTTGGTTTTATTTTGAAAAATGAATGAACAAATACACGGATTCTTTACAATAACATTACGCTTGGGGTGCGCTACATGTACCTCTGTGGTGGGATGTTCATCGGTTACCATGGAGACAAGATGCACACATTAAAGCAGTGTTTCCCAAACTTTTAATCTGGGAACCCATATATTCAAAGTCACAAACCTTTGCGACCAAAGTCAACAGACATTATTCGTAAATCAGAAAATAAAGGTGGATTTGTGCATTATTGAACATTAATGAGGATATTTTATTGTTGACTGAGTGACAATTAGTATTACTCAAGTTTTAAACAATGAAAAACAGTCATTGAAGCAGCAATAAAAGGATCTGTAAGTCGGTTAATATCGGTATTGGCAGATACTTAAAACCATGGTATCATAATCAGTAGTAAAACTGAAAAAGCTGGATCAGTCCATCTCTAACAAAAACTTTTCTAAACGTACAATACTATTTAAAAAAAAACATGAGCTGCAATAAATAAACAGCAGAATAAAACATTTTAGTACTTAGTTCACGTCTATCTTGACTCATAGAAGTTATCAGTTCAGACTTTTACAGCTCAAATCTTATCGTAATACCAAAAATAAGCCCAAATTTCTCAGTAGTACAAACAAAATGTGCACAAGATAAATATTGACCACAAATATATAGTTCCAGATCTCATACTGTATATCGAATGATAAGTCCATATAGTATTTATTGTGACAGGCGTCTCGAGGATGCAAAGTGACTGCACTGTCTGCCCGCGTCTCATCACAAACTGAAATACAAACAACCGCACAGCCACAGAGAGCCACAGAGAGCCACAGAGAGCCACAGAGAGCCTCTGCAAGCGATGTGTTCCTTATTTCAACATCAACAGAATAATTTGACTATTCTGGGATGATAATGTGAACTAATTTTTCGGTTTAAGGTCCGTCACCTGCTTGATTCTTTGGAGATGTCATTGCTTTGCCTGGAATGTTCCACAGTATAACATTGAACAGCTTCACCTTATATTTATTCAGTTACAGATGTTTTTATAGCTCAAAAAAAGCTCTGGGTAGTGACCGAAAGGACAAGATCGCAGAAACAAGCGCTCGAAATGAGTTTCCTTCGCAGGGTGGCTGGGCGCTCCCATAGAGATAGGGTGAGGAGGTCAGTCACACGGGAGCAGCTCGGAGTAGAGCCGCTGCTCCTCCACGTCGAGAGGAGCCAGTTGAGGTGGCTCGGGCGTCTGTTCCGGATGCCTCCTGGACGCCTCCCTCGGGAGGTGTTCCGGGCATGTCCCACCGGGAGGAGGCCCCAGGGAAGCCCCAGGACACACTGGAGGGACTATGTCTCTCGACTGGCCTGGGAACATCTTGGGGTCCCCTCGGAGGAGCTGGAGGACGTGTCTGGGGTGAAGGAAGTCTGGGAGTCCCTGTTTCGACTGCTGCCCCCGTGACCTGGCCCTGGATAAGCGGAAGAAAATGGATGGATGGAGGACCTCATTTCCTAGTGAGCCAGAGTGTTGGAGACGTGTGGAGACACTTTCTGAAATATTCCATCCAGTCCTTGTATTTGCAGAGGTCACTGGTGCTAGACTAGTGCATGTCAATGGTCATAGTTCTCCTGCCACTAAAAACAGTCTTACCCACTCCACAAAACACCTGAAACAAATCTATTATTACACCAGACTGTCCATGTGAATGTCTGTGTTGATAGAATAATTTTGGAAATAAAACCAACCTTACATTTGAAGGATTTATGTCTGAGCAGCAGTGAGTTGTACCTCCTGATAGAAAGTTTGACAGCGGCAGACTGATATGACCCTAGCACCTACGTATCTTACCGGCAAAGTCAAATTCCGCTGCTTCTGAGAAAATAGTCCCTCGACATGCAACGATTCATGCGATGCAAGCAGCGAGAGGCTCTAGTCTTGTGTGTGAGTATCTGCTGCTCCTGTTCCTCCTGTACCACTGTCACTTCACTCTATTGCACATGTCTCCTGCTGAAAGAGCCTCTGTCCTGTCTGTATCATGTCAGTCAATCACACCATTACTTCTGCACCACTGAAAATGTAACATTTAAACAAACTTATAAAGACGACTGAGAAGACTGAACACAAATGTCCCCAAAAAGAAAATCATATTTTGCAGATTACAAGTTGCAAGTAGCAAAATCTGCAGCTGAAACCGGTAATCGAGCAGCAGAAAGAAAGTTTGGAGTGAGAGAGAAACTTGTGACACCGGGAGGATGCACCATGAAACTTTCCTGAACTCACTGGATGGATGAACAAAACCTGGACACTGAAACCATCTTGTTGGGATTCAGAAAGGCTGGAATAATTCTAACTGGAACTGATGCTGAGTCTGACAACAGCGACACAGAAGAGGAAGCGGCGCTCTGTTTAGCTCCGGAGGTCGAGGCCAAGTTGCTCTGAGGATGAAGAACTGAATGGATTTAGTGATTTGGAGTGAGATGGAGAGTTTGGTAAACTTGTTCTGTTCTGTTGTTTATGTTATAGTTTATCTGAAGAACTGTTCATACGTGACATTCTGTTGTTCTCTCTTTTAGTGTTATTATTAGAACTTGACTTTCAACATGAAATGTCGGTTCCTGGTCTCTGATTTTATAAAATAAATTTCTCTCAAAAAGTGCAACTTATAGTGTTGTATATGTTCTTTTCTGAATGACTTATATTCCAAAAAATACGGTATATATCCAGCAATTTCTCCAATCTCTATATTTAAAAAAGAAAATAAATATACATATTTATATAAAAATATCCCAAAATAAACTTTGTTAAGCTTTATTGTTTCAGCTATATGAGTTTGGAGATCGTTTGACACACAAATTGAAATCTCAATCAAAATTCGATTAATTGTACGGCCTGTATGTAAATGTATTGATTGACTTGTCTGTCTGTCCCCCTCCAGGTGCAGAGACCCTCCTGAAGCCGCCTCTCAGCCTCTTCACCCACCCACAGCAGCCATTTCAGCACCTGGACCCTCTGCCTCCTCTGGGACCCCCACCCATGGGTCCCACCCCAGCCCTGTGCCCTCCTCCCCTCACCCCAGCTCCGCCAATGGGACCCCCCGTCACCCTGTGCCCGCCTCCTATCGCCACGCACACCATCAGACCCCCACCCCTGACGCCCCCGCCCGGTCACACCCTGGTCCACCCACCCCCGCCCAACATAGCACCCAATCCACAGCTGGGACCCCCGCCGATACCCCCGCACCCGCTCGGACCCCCACCGGTAGTCGTGGACCCAAACAAGACGATTCCACCTCCAAATATTGATATCCGAACTCCACCTCCGTCGCTGCGTTTTCCCCCAGCGCCCTGTCTGGAGCCCCCCCAGATGCCCCCCAGCCTGGTCCCCGCTCCAGCTCCGGGTCCAGGTAAAAATGTCATAAAATCAAACTTTAGTCTTTTTTATTATTGTGAGAAAAAATATAAAGATTTAAAGGTCACATATGATGCTATTTTCTGTATCTATTTCCTCACAAACAGACCTGGACTTGTGTTTTGTTTCATTCACACGTGTTTATTAATTTAAAACAAGAACAGTCCACAGAAAACATTCAGCTCAGAGTGACAAGATGTTCTGCTCCAGGTTTAGTACAAGCTCCTTTCCATCTGCAGTCCTTGGGCAGATATAAAATATACATTACAGAAACTATTTACATTAGACCAACTCTAACAACAACATTTCATCAGAAACAGTGTCTCCTGAAAATAACCACAATCCAACATTCAACAATTCAACATTTAAAACAATTAAAATGAATTCATTCTAATTTCCATAAATACAAGATTTCAAATTCATCATTATGTTCAACACAAACACACAAACCCTGCAGATTTTCTGAGTTGTTCTCTTAAACTGAAAACACTCTGTTCTACCTTGTGATGTTATGTGGTAATAAAAAAGTGCTCCACTGTGTTTTTAAACTCCATACACTTTCACAAGAATTATTTAGATGATTAAAAACCAGGAATTGCCCATCTTTACTAAACTAAACAAACAGTTAAATGTAGCTGTGAAATTATCCATTTCCACTGAACTAAAGGTAAAAGGTAGTGTTTTAGTCAAGACCACACTAATCGAGACCAAAACTAATCTGAGACCACAGGGTCCAGAGACCAGGACAAGTCTTGGTCTTGTCTCGTTCTCGACTCTCAAAGGTCTCTGAGAGTCGAGAACGAGACAAGACCAAGACCATCTTTGTCATTTCTTACATTTATTTGTATTTTACAGATATTGTGGCACATATATATTTTACATCTGTCTCCATTGGATCTGGATAATTTAGACTTAAAATAGGCCAAGCAAACTGTTCTGCACTTAAACACTCTGTGCCTCTTTTTGGACCCTCACCCACAGTTTGAGAATCCTTCTTTAATCCCACTTCCTCTGGCACTTTACAGAAAAGGGCTTTAAAGTGAATGAAGGGTTTTTTTCACGTTCATAACATTTACAGTTACATTCTCTTACAGGTTTTGCAGTGATATTTAGCCTCTGCACATTTACCGGCTGTAATGAAATATGATCACACTCGTCGAGTGTCAGACCTCGAGTCTGAGACAAGACTGATACAAGACCAGCATTAAGACCAAGACAAGACCGAATCCAAATGCACTCAAGTCCAAGATGAGACCAAGATCGTAAAAAAGCAGTCTCGAGACCAAGACCGGTCTCAAGTATTACAATACTAGTAAAAGACAGCTGTTGACTTAACTTGTAAACTACATGACATCACAAGGTGGAACAAAGCAGTTTTGGAAATGCAGACAGACTAAAGAATTACTCAAACATGTGTCAATGAAACAAAACACAACCCCAGGTCTATTTTTGATGAGGAAACAACATTATAACACGACTTGAAGCTCACAAGAGTCTATTTTGCAGAATATAAGACCTTTAACCATTGCTTTGTGCACGACTGCAGATGGAAAATATCCTGTAGCTAAGTCTGGCGCAGAGCATCTTTTTTCTTTTAGATCGATGTATTCTGTGCTTTGTCCTTCATTTGAAATAAATAAAATAAAAATACAGAAATAGATTATTCATGATTATTGACACCAAGTCCAAACAACAGTGAAATATTCTATTTTCTTTCCAGCACTTTACTTTACGTGACCAGCTTTTAGGGCTGTTGTCATTTTTGTATCAGTCGACTAATCATTTTATTTCGATTATAAAGATTTATACAACAGCAGAAAGGAGAAATGAGTGAAAAAAGACAGATTAAACTCATAATTCATAAGTTTTTATATAAATACATTGTTCCCTAGTACTTTTTTTCTGCATAAATAATAATAAAAAGATGCATAATAGTTTCCAGAGCTTTTTTAGTTGACTAATCAATTGACAGGATGTGTTTTTAGTCAACCAAGAATTTCTTTAGTCGCCTACACATGATGAGTAAAGTTGAGGTGACAAAAACAGCCTAATAAAAAGCACTTTACATGAATTCTCCTTTTTTGGAGTATTTATTTTATTCGGGAAGTTGCTGCAGGCGTCTCTTTCATCATTGGGGTTGTGTTTTTTTCCTTGACAGCAAAAGTATCAGTACAGACACAAAGCTGTTTTTAAACCTCCCAGAGAATCAGCAGTGTTGGTCACATGAACAGTGAACATTTTACACAAATCTACCTGCTTTATATCAGATTTTAGCGGCAAATCTTTCAAAAGCTAAATAATTAACAATTTTATAAGCCCAAAAAGTCATTTCCATTGAATCTACTGTTTTTATTCCATCATTTATGCCTCTACATTTCGTGGCTGCACTTTTGTTTTAGTCTGATGAGGTTCATTTGGTCTTCCTATAATTTATGTTATTAGGTTCTTTATTCAGATCAAGAGTTTGTTTTCATACCTGACAGTTTGGACTGCTCACTAGCGCTTTTCCTCAGAGTGGTCACGTAATGTTGCTGTGACGTGTCCGGTCAGCTGATTTGGTTTTGGTGCTGTCTTCCTACTGATGGAGGCAGGATGACAGCGCCATCTGCAGCCCGACTTCCTCAGGACAGTATCCCAGGTGTGTGAGAGTAAAAAAGCCCCCTTGTCCCGGTTTATCGTCCCGTGGGCACGTTTTCGTATTTCGATTGCCTCTTTAATCCAGCAACGATGTTTGTTTTCCTCTGTCCCAATGATGTTTGCTCCATCTCAATCCATAATGTGGTTCTCTCTTTTGCAGTGGTCAGAAATGGCCGATTTGAGTTGTTCTTGTTCTGCTTTGTGTTTTGTTGCTCGTGTACACGCCTTCGCTTTTTACTCTCACACACCTGGGACACTGTCCTGAGGAAGTCAGGCTGCAGATGGCGCTGTCATACTGCTTCCACCAGTAGGAAGACAGCGCCAAAACCTGTTTAAATCAGCTGACCGGACACATCACAGCAACATCACGTGAGCAGTCCAAACTGTCAGGTATGAAAACAAACTCTTGCTCTGAAAAAAGAACCTAATAACATAAATTATAGGAAGACCAAATGAACCTCATCAGACTAAAACAAAAGTCCTGCCACGAAATGTAGAGGCATAAATGATGGAATAAAAACAGTAGATTCAATGGAAATGACTTTTTGGGCTTATAAAATTGTTAATTATTTCGCTCTTTCCGAGTGTATTGTGACCTGAATAATCACCATTATTAACGTTGCCATCCCCAGTTCCAGGACAGGCAGCCCCCGGAGGAGAGCAGCCCCAGGACGAGGCCTCTCCCCTGGGCAGTGAGGAGCAGGAGGACCCCCTGGGGCTGGAGGAGCTGTGCAAACCGCTCTACTGTAAACTGTGCAACGTGACGCTCAACTCCACACAGCAAGCTCAGGCTCACTACCAGGTCAGCAGAAAAAAAAAAGCATTTGTCATTATGTTTGCTATTGTTTTGATGAGTTTCAACTTCTGTTTTGGGTTGTTTGAGTCTGATGATGTCATAATCTCAGATGGAGTGAGATGAGTTTTTAAATAAATGTTAAAAAAAATATATCAACATTTGTTAGGAATCTGTCCTGTTTAGTCCTGTTTAGTTATTTTTAATGCTGTTTAATCCTGGCTTAATCCCAGTTTTGTATTGGTTTAGTTTAGCTCTGTTTAGTCCTGTTTTAATCCTGGTTTAATTCTGATGTAGTCCTTGTTTAGGTCTATTTTAACCCTGGTTTGGTCCTGGTTTAGTCCTGGTTTAATCCTGGTTTAATCCATCTTTAGTTCTGCTTTAGTTCTGGTCTAATACTGGTTTAGTTCTACTTTATTCCAGGTTTAGTCCCAGTTTTGAACTAATTTTGATGTAGTGTCTGAGCTCTAAAGCATTAATTGCACAGTTCTAGTGGTGGTCTTTTTAGACCAGTTTTAATCCTGTTTTAGTTCTGTTTTAATCCTGATTTAGTCCTGGTTTACGTCCATTTCAGTCTCGGTTTGGTCCTGTTTTAGTCGTGGTTTAATCCAGGTTTAGCCCTGACTTTGTCCTGGTTCAGTTCTGGTTTAGTTCTGGTTTAGTTCTGGTTTAGCCCTGGTTTAGTCCTGTTTTAGTCCTGTTTTAGATCTGTTTTAGACCTGTTTTAGTCCTGATTTAGTCCTGGTTTACGTCTGTGTTAGTCCTGGCTTGGTTCTGGTTTAGTCTTGGTTTGGTCCCAGTTTTGTATTGGTTTAGTTCTGTTTAGTCCTGTTTTAATCCTGGTTTAATTCTGATTTAGTCCTGTTTTAGACCTGGTTTGGTCCTGATTTAATCCTGATTTAGTGTTGGTTTAGGTCTATTTTAGTTCTGTTGTAGTTCTGTTTTAGTCCTGGTTTAGTAATGTTTTAGACCTGTTTTGGTTCTGTTTTAACCCTGTTTTGGTTCTGTTTATGTCCTGATTTAGTCCTGGTTTACATCTGTTTTAGTCCTGGTTTGGTCCTGGTTTAGTCGTGGTTTAATCCAGATTCAGTCCTGATTTAGTCCTGGTTTAGGTCTATTTTAGTTATGGTCTAATACTCATTAGGTTTTGGTTTATTTTAGGTGTAGGTTTCCCAATTTTTAATCAGTTTTCATGTAGTATATGAGCTTTAAAATGTTTAAAACAATTGCACAGCCCTAATGGTGGTCTTCTTAGTCCTGTTTTAGTCCTCGTTTAGTCCTGCTTTAGACCAGTTTTAACTGTGTTTTAGTCCTGCTTTAGACCAGTTTTAACCCTATTTAATTACTGGTTCAGTCTAGTGTTTTGATGTAGTGAGTTAGCTTTAAAACCATAGATTAATTGCACGCCAGTTGGTGGTCTTTTTAGTCCTGTTTTAGTCCTGGTTTAGTCCTGTTTTAGTCCTGTTTAGTCCTGTTTAGTCCTGATTTAGTCCTAGTTTAGTCCTGGTTTAGCTCTAGTTTTATTATAGTCTCTGAGCTCTAAAGTGTTAGATGAATAGCGTGGCCCTAGTGGTGTTCTTGTGTCATTACCGGCGTTAATGTCAGTCTCTGGTTTCACATTCACAGTTGTACAAAAGTGTTGCCGAGTGAAACAGAAGGCTTTGTGTTGTGTTGAGGAGTGATGAGCAGAGCCTGCTGAGCTGTGAGCATTGTCACTCTGCCTGCTGTTCCTCCTCTCTGTTTTGGACACACTGCAAAAAAGTATTATACACAAGTTTAAGCACACTTGAATTAAGAATATGAGTCTTGGTTTCAGGAGTTTTGATTTTTGAACTTTAGTTTTAAAATTTTATTTACCCAATGGGCCCATTTTAGACATTTCAAGATGTGTCTGACTTTTAAAGGTTTTTTCCTGTCCAATATATATACATAATTCTGATACTACAAATGGACCTACAAATGGACCTGCTACCAGTAAACAGTGTGACTACATCAGTCTGTATGTCCAACCAGGATATCGGCTGAAGAGATATTTGGAAGCTGATAATTTTCAGTATCAGTGCCGATTTCAATACCAGCATAGGATCAGTGCATCCCTATAAATTAAATCAGTTACATGGTTAAAGTTAAAGTTTGGGTTCATTTAATTCAAGGTTGGATTTAAGGTTAAAGATGCATTATGGAGCTTTTCTAGTGAAGGGTCCATCACCTGCTTATTTTCATTGAGATGTTACTTTGTTTTTGTTGGAAAATTCAACAGTATGACATTAAATGTATCCATCTCCATGGAGACAAGCAGGTGGAACCACCAGGCAAAGTAACAGGTCAGATCTGTGGAGAGGTGACGCTTACAATAAATGCATGTTTTTCAGGTTCTTTTTGTTTAGTGATAAAATCATACATAACATAAGTACAAATTATTTATTCATATTGTGGAACATTCAGGCAAAGCCATAATATCTCCATGGAGACAAGCAGGGGTGGGAAACTTACATCATGCACCTCTAATGTAATGTAACATGTGTGTATGTGTGTGTGGACAGGGTAAGAACCACAGTAAGAAGCTGAGGAACTTCTACGCGGGAAGCCAACAGCCTCCAGCCGTCAGGATCACGGACACCACAGAAACCAGCGGCCAAACGTCCCACAGCTCAGGGGTCAGTGAAGGAGACACAAGCAGACAGGTGAGAGCAGCACCTGACGGACCTAGAGCTGTGAGGGGAGAGGAACACTGGTCATATGTAGAACTGTAGCTACTCTCGCTCTGATTGGTCAGAAAGGTCATGTGGCTTGTGCACGCTGGCACTGGCGTGCACCTGCGTGGGAGAAGAGACGTGCTCCTCTGATCTCAGCCTGTTCACTTGAATGGACGGTCATGTTTAGACCCCAGAGCTTGATAAATGCATGTAGTTAAGCTGCTCGTTCCAAATAGGAAGTGAGCAGGCATTAGATTTATATAGCTCCTTTCAGCACACGCAGAGCACTTCAGAGTATTACTCATTCACTCCACACTACTGCAGCCACAGCCGACCTGGACCAGACTGACCCAAGTGAGGCTGCCAATCTGCGTCATAGAATCAGTAAACTCACAGGAACAAATGAAATAACACTGAAAAAACATATTGGACCATCCCTAATGTCTGTAATAATGATAAATAAACCAGATTTCAGTGTATTCCATCAGCGTGTTATTGGAGCAGACATGTGTTTCTGGCTCCTGTCTGGTGCTGTGCGGGTCAGCCCACACTTCTGTAATAAGCTCAGAGCAGTGAGTGGGAGAAGGCTGGAGTGGACCAGCTCTTAGTCATTAGTCTGTCTCTGTGTATATGCGTCTGTGTGTGTGTGCATCTGTGTGTGTGTGCGTGTGTGTCTGTGTGTGTGGAGGTGGAGGAAGCTGCACCAAAACACCTCCTCTGTCTTGTTATATCTGATTGATATGTTTGGAATTTATGCAACAAAAAGATTAAAAAATACACTTTACTCACCTTATGTCCATTAGAGATGCGCGGATGGGCTATTTTTTCATCCGCAACCGCGACACAAAACTCATCATCCGCCCGCTATCCATTTTGCACCGAAGGTTTTCAAAACCGCACCCGCCCGCCATCCGCCGATCTGATAGATTTTAGAACAATCATACAGCAAACAAACTAAGGAGCCTCGATAAAAATGCAAACTATAGCTCATTCATTCCAAAATTCGCTCAGCGTGTATGTTCACATTCTTAATTGTCAGTGTCGGCGTCAGAGCACATCTACTGGAGGGGCATGGGTCACCAGCAGGGGGGGCACTGCCATTTGAGAAATATTTTAACGCGGTGGAGTCATACACAGCAGACATGCTATCAAACACGTTTTTCTTTAACAGTATTAGGCTAATTATGTGTTGTTATTATAATCATTATTATATTAAGATTATTATTATTATTAGCTGCAATAGTTGTTGAGGCTGTGAGGTAGACGATAGGCACACACATGACAATAATAAAAGGTTGAGGTTTATTAAAAAACAATAAGTCCTGCCACTGGTTGTAAACATTAAACAACAGCCTCTCGTCAAAAACACCTCTGAACTAGAAATAGCCACGCATCGGACAGCACCAGGGCTGTAGTGAACGTGGTACGCGAGTCGCCGTCCAGTCCTGTCCTATAGAGACCTGAGACTTGAGGGACCGGGACTAAACCAGGACTAAACCAGGACTAAACCAGGACTAAAGGACTAAACCAGGACTAAACCAGGACTAAACCAGGAACAGTGGCGGCTGATGGTATAATTTTTGGGAGGGGCACCAAGGGCAAAATTATAAATATATATTATGAATAATATATGTATTATATATATAGGCTGTATATATAGGCTGTAGTATTATAACAAATACCAGAAACAGACATTTTGGTTAGTATTGGCTGAACAGTATCGATCAGAGCACAATGAACAGCCAAGCGCAAACTTTATGCAACAACACAACGTAACACTCCGCTCACACCCAGACCCAACGTCAGTAAAACTACAATAAGAGACATGAACACAGATGCCGCTCCTACAGCACACGACAGAACAACCAGAGCAGCTCCATCGCACCCACCAGCTCATTTACGCACTATTTAACTATTAACACTATAACACTATTTACCTGCGAGGCTCCAAGTTCAGATTTGCCGCAAACTAATGAAAACCAGCCTCTTACCGTGGAGCTTTAAGCTAAAGTAGCAGCTGCCGCTAATCGTGGAGCTGCTACGAGTTGATGCAGCAGGTTGACGTGACGTGACGTGACGTGAGTGACAGGACAGTTGTCCAATCACACTACACTAAATAAACAGAGACTGTGATGTCATTGATGTCACAGTAAAGTTTGTGTCCTCAGCCCGAAGTGAAATGCGCCAAGCAAAATCATTTTAAAATAGTCAATAATAACGGCCTGTCGGGGGGTGGGGCACCAGTGGCCGCTAGGGGGGGCACGGCCCTCAAATGCCCCACCTTGCCGCCGACACAGTTAATTGTCCATAACAACCCCAAACTTACCTGGTTTTCTTGCGCAGCTAATTAACTGACAACGTTTTCCGACTAGGCTATTTTTTAACCTTCTTGCCTTCGTGTTGGATGTTGTTACATTCTGAACATTCTGCCATTGCCCGATGTTATTTCAAAGTCATAGCCTCACTCCATCGGTCTTTCTTTAAGTTTTAAATACCCCGAGTGGCAGTCTACGCTATAATGTCTGCGTGTTTTAAAATATATCTGATATTGAAACCAAAAAAAAAAAGCATAACTAAATAAATATGGCCCTATAGCCACTTACGTGTTGGCAAACAGCTGAAATAAATTAGAAATAATAAAATTAACTGCATATAATATGTGCCTCGTAAACCTTAGGCATCAATAACCCGACACAACCTTAACCTTCAGAACATAAAAACGAGGTCAAATGGGCTAATTAACGATATGACGTACACTTCATACTACAAGCATAGACAACGAGACTCATCTTTTCAGATGTAGGTAACAATACTAACAATAACTTTTTTTTTTTTTTTAGTAGTTAAACCGCCACCCGCCCGAATTTAATTAAAATATAATTTTTCGTCACGTCATCCGCCCGACCAAAAACACATTTAAAACATAAAAAAATGTGAGAAATGTTTCAATAACGTAAGAGTTTATAAAGTTTCAGAAACAGATTTTGAATGTAATTACAGATCTCGAGGTGTTTAATTGCCACAGAGCTGAACAGGTCTTCAAAATTATTTTAATTTTATTTTTCGGAAAATCTTTGAGAAACATTTATGAGAAATTTGGACAGTCACAGTTGAGCTCTGACAAGTGCCTGTAACAGTGCTACATACTTTTCAAAACACTAAAGTGTGTAGTCTTTATTCGTTATCCGTGCTCTGTGATGGTGAGATAATAATGTAATAAGTTAATATTGTAGTCACATCTGTTCTGGGGCAGAATGATGGAATCGAGGCTGCCAATCTGTGCCATCGGCCCCTCTGACCACCTCCACACGCCCGTGCACACACAAGATCCAAACACAGGCAAGGCCGATTTTTATACAAATGAACAGGCTCAGTACTTATTACCAATATCGAAACCACTCCTTAGACAACAGAATGTCATTTAATACTAAAAAAGTACTTTCTTTATGTTACTGTGTGGTCCAAACTGGTTCTGATAAAGCTCTAAATCAGGGGTCATCAAACTAAGGCCTGTGGGCTGACTCCGGCCCTCCATGCCCCTTTGACCGGCCCCCAGCCCCTCTGCCCCCACCACTTGAACTGCCCCTGTGAGGCAATCCTCAAAAGTGCCATGGCCTATGTCTTTTTATTACTTTTTGGCAAAAAATAACACGTCGGCATCTTGTATTTTGTTGATTTTTTCAATTTAAATACAATATTTATATGAAGCATTTATATGTATTTACATTTGCCGCTGAATTTTCGTCACCTGACAAACTCAAGATCAAACAGTGACAGTCAACGCTCACAGAGTACTATAGTGCAGAGTACTGTAGTGCAGAGTACTCAAGTACTCAAGTGCAAAGTACTGTAGTGCAGAGTACTGTAGTGCAGTTAAGGACAGCAAAATGACGAGTGTTAAAGTGGGAAAACTCGACAAAGAGTGCAGAGTTTTCAAAGAACAGTGGATGACCGATTCTTTTTGTGTTCAGTGTGAGGAGTGTGCAGTTTATCTGATATGTAAAGAAAGTGTAGAGGTTTTCAAAGAATATAATCTGTGTCATCAGAGTCAAACAATTCTGTTATACGGCCGACCCCGGCCCCCATCACAGTCAGGAGCCATAATGTGGGCCCCAGAGAAAAGAGAGAAAAGTTTGGTGACCCCTGCTCTTGATCATTCTAAAACTTTTCTGCAATAGTCAGATTTTGTGCTTTTCATGCGAGTTTTTATTCTTTAATTTTTAATGATACTCACTATTCACCTCGCGGGCAAACTGTCTTGCCCAAGGACACAGCATCAGTCTGCCTTGGTCCCCAGAGCCCCTGGCCCCCTCCTCACTGCCCTCTGTCTGTGTATGTTCCAAAAAAAGAAGCTCATAATCGCCATAAAGAAGCAGACTTAGCAACTATGTCCTTAACTGCCCTCTGTGTGCAGGTTTACCCCTCCTCACTGTCTTTTTGCCCTCTGTCTGCACTTTTACCCCTCCTCATTCTTCTTTCTGCCCTCTGTATGCATGTTTACCCCTCCTCACTCTTCTTTTTGCCCTCTGTGTGGAGGTTTACCCCTCCTCATTCTTCTTTTTGCCCTCTGCCTGCATGTTTACCCCTCCTCACTGTCTTTTTGCCCTCTGTGTGCAGGTTTACCCCTCCTTACTCTCTTTTTGCCCTCTGTGTGCAGGTTTACCCCTCCTTACTCTTCTTTTTGCCCTCTGTGTGCAGGTTTACCCCTCCTCACTCTTCTTTTTGCCCTCTGTGTGCAGATTTACCCCTCCTCATTCTTCTTTTTGCCCTCTGTGTGCAGATTTACCCCTCTTCATTCTTCTTTTTGCTCTCTGTCTCCAGTTTTACCCCTCCTCACTCTTCTTTTTGCCCTCTGTGTGCAGGTTTACCCCTCCTCACTGTCTTTTTGCCCTCTTTCTGCCCCAGGCTCTGTATAAAGGAGCGGCGAGGGTGATCCTGGCCACAGAGAATGATTACTGTAAACTGTGCGACGCCTCGTTCAGCTCTGCAGCCGTGGCTCAGGCTCATTATCAGGGCAAGAACCACGCCAAGAGACTGAGACTGCAGGAGGCTCACAGCAACGCCAACAACAGGTACGTCCCGAATGTTCGAGTTTACATGGAAATAATAATTCTGAATTGAGGTTTACATGGAAAAAGATCGTCATTATATAATTGGGCTCGGCATCTGGGGGTGGGGAAGGTTCTGATTGGACAGAGACACCAACGTATTTACGTCGACCGGAAGAAAACACACACTTCAGCTGCTACCGGCTTTTCTGTCATCTCGGTTTGTCATTCCACCACGGACACAAACATAATCCAAACTTTTTCCGCAGTGGTTCTGATGATAATTGTGCAGCAGCTGGAGAATTGTCTCATCACACTTTACGTCTGTCAGCTGAGGAGGAGAAGGGAAGAGTGTCGGAGAAGGAGGAAGAAGACAAAGTGAGTGTGAGGCTGCTCTACCTCAGCCCACTCCCACATCCCGCTCACAAATCCAAAGAGACTTGGATGAAAGTCTGAAACCAGGACTGTTGGAGCCGGATCGTCCGGATCACGTCAGAAGGAATAAATGTTTACATGATCCAGGAATAAATTCATTTCTTCATTTCCTCATTTCTTTAAAGTCGGAATAAACCACTCACTACAGAATTAAGTTTAATTCCAAATACAGTGGTCCCTCGTGTATGGCGATTATTCCGAAATGGCTCCCTACAGCTGCGTAACTTCTCCCTTCTTTCAGCATGTCCAGAAGTCCAACTTTTTGTGTGATGGTTAGCATCTTCCGCTGCCTTCCGGGAGCAACCACAGGAGCCTTTGTCGGTGCAGAACTTTTCGTCGACATTGTAGGTTTTGTCAGTTAGAAAACTTGCAAACATACAGCACTTCAGAATCACACTGATACAGATCCAACATTTATGTAAATTCATCAAGCTGAACACATTCTGTACTGTACAGGAGACACGGCACGGAGGAGACTGATTGACAAAGGTCTACAGTCCCTTAGCCAATCAGAACACGGGGAGGAACACAATGTGTGTTCATACACTGTAAAAAAAAGCGAGGCCGCGAAAGGTGAACTGTGTTATAGTGAGGGGTGACTCTAATAATTTTCATCAGGTATTATATGTTTACATGGTCTTTTTAAAGCGGAATACATTTTTATTCAGAATAAAATGATTTTTATTTGGAATTAAAGCTCTCATCTAAACGTGGCAAGTATGGCTTTAAACAAGTCCAAGTTGAGCCCCAAGTCTTAGTCCATTTTATCAAGCCAAGTCTCAAGTTCTAAAAATAGTGACTGAAGTCTGACTCGAGTCCAAGTCACGACTTGCAAGTCCCAACCTCTGAGTGAAAGTATGCAAAATAGTCTAAAATATACCCTCCTTTAGGCCTTCACTGTCCCTCCTCTGCACCATAGACACTCCCTTTTATCGGGTATTAACTGCTCACACGTCGCATATTTAGATCACCATGTTTTGAAAATGTTATATTCACCAAAAACAACATATTAACATGTTGGTATAACTGGTATATTAAGCTTTTCCCAGATCCCACAGGAAGAAGGACAATAACGTCTTTCCCCTTGATGAAATTCACCAAACATTCTCTTTGTTCTGGCTTTAAATCCTCGATCTCGGGAATCGTTACCAACTCAGAATGTATGGCTCTTTGCTGATTGACTGATGTCCGAACTCGCACTTCCGGGGTTCTTTCAAACTGCCTAGTGTATTCTGATTCCTGATCTAGTCGCTGGAGAGAAATGAAATTGAGCGGAGGCACTAGGTGGCGCCAGCCTGGCTAATGTCATTCCCCATTCAGAGCGGTATCACTATACACAATCAATGTGCATCCTGCTAATGAAAGTAGAGCACATCACACAAGGTTTGTCCAAGTAGTGTACAGTTTTGTATCCTGCCTTTTACATTTATGGGGAACAGGCATGTGGGAGCATAGGTGATGTGGGCTTGTGGTACAGCAAACCATAAGAAGGGTTTGAATTAGGGTGTAAAAAAATATCAAAATATCAATTTATCATATTTAATATGATGATACAGTATTGATATCATGGGCTGCTGTATCGATATATCACCAAGAGTATTTTTTGGTATATTTTACTAAATTATCTTGTTACAGTTACAGTTTTGTTGCTCGTTTAGAGGAAGGAAACTCATTTATGTGACACATTTGACATTTTTACTATTTTGAGGATTAAAATGGGTGTGTTTTATATTAAATTTGCACAAAGACTTTTAGTATCACAGCCATAATTTAGCCTTTATTTTTTATTGTATCAAATCGATTTGAAATATATTGTATCGAATCATATTGAATCGAAAGTGTATGGAGGTATGTATCGTATCATAGCCTGTGTATCGTATCGGCAACTTCTTAATGATCACCAGCTCTAGTTTGAGTTGGGCCCAGGAGATCACTAGATTACTCAAACATACATGGATAACATCTAGAACCATTTGGTGCGTGTTTTTGATGAGGGGACAACAGTACAACATGGTAAATAGCTCGATTTCTCCTTTAACATCATATAATGTTGTGTCTTTGTAAAACTGTATATTCAGACACTACATGACATCACTGCATCTCATTTACTTACGTGATTATTTTGACCACAAAGTCTTTATTATTTCCTTGTTTCCAGTGAAGGCCCCAGTGAGGTCACACCAAAGAGAAGCAGGAAGGATGAGTACCGCCTGGTGAAAACCAGACGCAGTCCACAGCTCCAGGGCGCTTTGACAGGTAACAACGATTCACTATTCAAACACAACAACACTCAAAATGAAGCACTATTGTTCTGTTTGGCAACCACTGTTTTTGTAAGCTATCTCCTCTCTGCAGCTATGGCCACAAGTAATGATTTATTAAGGATGCTAAAATCTATTGTGAGTTGCACGATATTAAATCACAGAATGGCATTTTGAACAATAGAAGATAAGAAAAGTCAAGTTTGCAGTGGTGTTAGTAAGGGCTTTTAAACAAATCAGGGCTATGCAGTTGAAAATAATCTCTCCATAGTAATTAATTAAGTTGACGTATAAGAGAGGATTTGAAGGAATTATAAAAGACTAGTTTAGATTTTATTTAAAGGGGCACTATGCAACTTTTCTGGTGAGTCTGGAGTGTCCATTCACTGTAAAATCTAATAATTAGACCTTACTTGAAAAAATCTAGGAAACCAATTGCTTTGAACAATTTTGACTAAAATGGACTCTGAATCTAATCTCTCAGTGTAGTGTATAGGAAATTCCTTTTTCATCGAACTAGGTACAGCAAGTGAAGTGAACTTTAGTTTTCATTCACAGAACTCATATTGTGAAGATGTGCCAACGAATCAGTCCGGTCCTCAATTCTGAAATATGTAGTAACTTTTACTTTAAGAGGAAGTTCAACTTACTAGGTAAAACCAAATGAGCAAATGTTACTGCTATAAACAAGTTAGAGTAAAAACAGGTTCTTTTCTACAATGCTGCCATTTAGATCTGCATCAGGTTCAAGGATTTGAATATTTATTAGTCTTTGAAAAAAACAGACCATATTTTCCGGGCTATTGGGAGCACTCATAAGCCTCCAACCCCATCAAAAAACGACTGCGTGCCCCGCAATCCAGAGCGCCCTATACACGGTGTCCCAGGATGACTTCAGTAAACTACAAAGCCGCACCACCTGCAGCGTACACAAACACACACAGAGCAGACAGCGACCGCACAGCGAAACACACCCGCAGCCACACTCATCACTCCACGCCGACGAGGAACAGAACGGAGGAACGAACCGAAAAAGCAAGTGCAATGTGCCACTTCTAGACACAACTGAACAACTGAGTCACTGCAAACACGCCGACAATCCGTTGGTCCCAGACAGCACCCTCCCTACACGCCACAACTGAACAAAGCCCAGAGTCACCGTGAACGCCACAAACAAACAAAACCACTGACCCATCCAACTGTTGTGTTTCCTTTAAAGTCCGGTGCGGTTTATTTGTGAAAAATGTTCAAAAATAGACCATTTAATGACAGAGCACCTCATAATCCAGAGTGCCCTATAGTGCGGAAAATACAATAGCAAAACTTTTGTTCAGCTTTGGTTCAAACACATCGTAACATGTGTAACAATAAAACTATAGGAGACACTTGGGCACAGTGTGCTTGCGCGTGTGTGTGTCTGTTCCCTGAGAGGAGGTGGGGTCACGTGAGCGTGGGGTGTGTGTGTGTGTGGGTGTGGAAAAGCATAAATGGTGCACACTCACCTGGGCCAGGGAGGAGGAGAGAGGTTGGTTGGGTAGCCGTAATTTTTGTTGACCGCTATTGCTTTTGTTTCTGGTTTTACGTTTTCAAACAGTATTCATTTTTTACGATATCCTTGCTCTTGGTCCATATACTTACGCTTGTCGCTGTGAACCCAGCTCTGTATTAAACCACCGTAAACGCACACTGGATCCAGCCTCATCTGTTTTACATCGCATTCAGCACGTCATAACTTTTACAGAACCCAATTTTACCTCTCCGCGGCTACCAGGAAACACAGTATCGTATAGCCGCTACAAAAACAATAAAACTCGGTCATTCCATGTCAACTCAACCGAGGCCCCCAAACTTAGGAACCGTCCACACTAGTATGTATTTGAGTTGTTTTCATTGTGGATGTAGTGTTCGTCCACACTAATCCGCTAAAAAACAGCTCCAGAGATGGAATGATCTGGTGCCGCCAGCTCCTACGAATTCATCTGAGTACAGATCTGATCTGGCACCGTGTGGACACCTAAAAACGGTGATACACTGATGTAGGTCTATGCACCGCGAAGTAATTCACCACCAAAACACTAAGAGGCTAGAATATATGTTCATTCATATGGGTCTGTGAGTACGACCTGCAGACGTATAATATCTGAAAAGTTTCACATGAACCATCTCCAACGTGACAGAAACACAGAACAGACTCACCATCAGCAGAACACCCCTCTGTCACAGAAAGAACACTCATATTCCACTGAGTCGTGTCCTTTAGGGAGACAGAAGCTGAATCACATCAGTGCACAATAGCGAGCTGTTTTTTGAGTGCCCTGTTTATGCAAATGAGCCATGTGGTTTTAAGTTTCGTTTCTGTACAACGTAAACAAATGTGCTCAAAGCTGTGTGGATAGGGAAGACTTGTGGACACAGAAACAACGTGTCTGGACACAAATCGTTTCCAATACGATGATAAGCAGATTTGTTTCAGTGTAAATGTAGCCTTAGGTCTTCAAAAATACTGGAAGAAACAAAACAGGAGAACAGGTGGAATCGGACACAGACTGAATGAACAGAGGGAGGATATAGAGACGCTCTGGGAGGATCGGGGAATGAGTGGAGCTGTAGGAAAAACAGGGAGGAAGTAAAAGGAGGAGCAGAACAGACTGGGGAAAGGAGCTGGACTCTTGATAATAATACGTCACTGTTGAAGTTACTTTTTCCCCCTGAAAGTAACTGTTACTGTAACTGTTACCACAATCATTAAGATCCACAAACTCGTAGCTGTGAGTAAAGTAAACGAGCTGAATGGAAGTGAACCCTAGTGTTAGATTTTACAGTGTGGAGATGTTAATGTGTTGCTTAAAATGTTATGGCTTTTCTATCTTGCATGTATTCAGTGACAGGTATTTTTGTTGCTAGAGAAATCCCCTGAAAAACTTACATTTTCTGTGAGTGAAGTTCAAAACAGACTTTTTGAACAACGTCAGACTGAGAGCTGACAGACAAAGCTTCTGTCGTCCTCTAGAGGGCAGAGTAGTGTGTTTCTTTTCCCAGTGTCAAACTATGAGTGTGCTTGTTGACTATAAAAATAATTATAGTCAAGTTTTGATCATCGTAATCATTATCTGGACTATGCAGACTCAAACACATATGAAAAGACTTTTATAATGAAGACATCGACAGTTCGAAGTATAAAATATGAATATTGTCTCTTTAGATGCCTTCAGTCCACAGTTTTCAATGGTGATTTGGTTTGTTTTCAACTTTAATGTTTGAAAAATAGTGGAGTACAAAAATAATCGTTAGGTGTAACTCTATGTCTGTTAAAAATAATAATTATTATTATTATAATGATTGTTACTGCCAAAAGCTTTAAAATAATCTGAAAGCGAAATAAAGAATAAGCAACACACTTTCAAGAGCCTGTGACTAACTGAAAAACTGTTGGCTAACACACAAACCCTGCATATTTAGACTGAGTTCTTCTCTTGAACAGAAAACACTCCACCTTGTGATGTCATGTGGTAATACAGGAAGTGCTCAATTATGTTATTCGGTCCTTTTTTCAGACCAAGAGTTTGTTTTCATGCCTGACAGTTTGGGCTCTTCACAAATGATCTTCCTCAGAGTCACATGATGTTGCTGTGACGTGTCCGGTCAGCTCATATAAACAGGTTTTGGCGCTGTCTTCCTACTGGTAGAGGCAGGACGACAGCGCCATCTGCAGTCCCACTTCGTCAGGACACGTCACAGCAACATCACGTGATCACTCTGAGGAAGAGCGCAGGGAGCAGAACAAACTGTCAGGTATGAAAACAATCTCATGGTCTGAAAAAAGAACCTAATCACATAAACTATCAGAAGACCAAATTAACCTCATTGGACTAGTTCTCCCTTGTTTTTAAACTCCATACACCTTCACTAGAATCATTTGGATCATTTCAGCCCTGGAATATGGCAGTCTCTCGTTAACTTATTTGAGAAGGATCAGCAAAACAAAACAATCATTTCACCTCTTGTAGCTCCACTTGGTTGTATGGAGGATTTTTTTTTTTTTCAAATTGTCAGTGAAAGTTTAAAATACCATTACAGAGACACAGCAGCCTTGTAATTATGATGACAAAAAAATAAAATGTATCTATCAACTGTGGACGTGGTGGGGCCAGATAAACATCAGCCAATAGATAATGAGACTACCTCTTTATCTATTGGCTATTAGGTTGTCAATCAAACTTCCTAGAGTAACTGACTCGCCAGCGCGCAGGGATCACGTGGTTTATGCAGCGGTTCTTAGAGGCTTTTTCAAACTGCATCTTCTTCGCAATTTGCACAAAGTTTGTTGCGGTGGTGGACGAGAATACACGACCAGTTTGCCGCAAAAGAAAGTCAGTTTTTGAGTTTGCTGAAAGAAGAAGCGAAGGGGAAAAGGAGCGAAGTCAAACAGGCAGGTGAAGGGTCTAAAAACTGATGCATCGGTCGCTAAATTACTTCTAGACAGGTCACTTCAACAGTAATTCTGGCTGTAAACAAGCGTGATTTCTAGAGTAAGGAGGCGGGAGGAGGAGGTGTTTCTACTGAGGGAGCTGTGGAGGAGGAAGGTGGTGTCACGCATGCACAAGGACTGTTGCTGTATTTCTCCTCCCTTAAAAAAATCCTCTATACAACATTTAAGTCAGTTTTTCATGGTGAAATTGTGTTAAAACAAAGCTCAGATTCAAATAACTCGAGTGACAGAGCTTCAGACAGAGTAGAGCCTACAGTTAGCACCACCTCCCAGGCAATGTTGATGACCTCAGCTTCAAAGTATCAATTTGAAATCTGTCTCTTGCCTCCATTTGACAGTATGACATTATCACATTGTAGCATATGAAAACCACCAATAAACAAGATGATGATGCTTCAGATACTGTACACTATATTAAAGTAGCTCTCCTCTGCCCTCCCCAGGTCCGTACTACCACTCACGTCCGAGGCAGAGGATCCCGCGTGACCTGGCCATGTGTGTGACCCCCAGCGGCCAGTTCTATTGCTCCATGTGCAACTGCGGAGCGGAGCAGGAGCCGGACTTCAGACAGCACCTGGAGAGCAAGCAGCACAAAGCCAAAGTGTCCGAGCTCAGATACCGCAACGAGATGGTCACCCTGGGATACAGCTAAGGAGAGAGACGGTCTGCACAGGAGGACGAGGAGAGGAGGAGAGGAGGAGGTGTGTTAAAAGGTGCATATGACAGGTTTGCATGTTTTTCTGATTGTGACTTGGTTTGGAGAGGTAGTATCTGTGGTCAACATTTATCATTGTTTTACATCAGTTAAGTGGCAGTTTGTGGAAAATCACTTGACAGGAAAAGTACAAAAATACAGGAAGTAGCGCCATAATAATAATTTTCCATCTTTTTCCCCACAAACTGACATTTAACTGTAAAACTGTGATGAATATTTACCAAACCAAGTCAGAGGTAACCTGGGGGGTATGCATGAAGCGAGCTAAAGCGAAAGCCTGGCTTATTTGGCCAATCCAGGTTCATCAAAGCCTCAGTTCCACCAAAGTGACTGACCAGAGGTGACACTGACTTGCCACAGTAACATGCAAGCAAGCTCTGCATGCATTACTACGCATCAGGAAGGAGTCAGGCAACTTCAGTCCCCAGGTGTATTAACCAGGCTCCGGACTCTGCACTACGCAGTTAGCCTCCTCTGTCCAAGTAGCGAACAGGAGAGGAGAGAGTGAACAGGAGAGGAGGGAGTGAACAGGAGAGGAGGGAGTGAACAGGAGAGGAGGGAGTGAACAGGAGAGGAGGGAGCGAACAGGAGAGGAGGGAGCGAACGAACAGGAGAGGAGGGAGCGAACAGGAGAGGAGGGAGCGAACAGGAGAGGAGGGAGCGAACAGGAGAGGAGGGAGCGAACAGGAGAGGAGGAGGCGAACAGGAAGAGGAGGGAGCGAACAGGAGAGGAGGAGCGAACAGGAGAGGAGGAGCGAACAGGAGGAGGGAGTGAACGGAGAGGAGGGAGTGAACAGGAGAGGAGGGAGTGAACAGGAGAGGAGAGAGTGAACAGGAGAGGAGAGAGCGAACAGGAGAGGAGGGAATGAAGAGGAGAAGAGGGAGTGATCAGGAGAGGAGGGAGCGAGTGAACAGGAGAGGAGGGAGCGAACAGGAGAGGAGAGAGCGACCAGGAGAGGAGGGAACGAACAAGCGAGGAGGGAGCGAACAAGCGAGGAGGGAGCGAACAAGCGAGGAGGGAGCGAACAAGCGAGGAGGGAGCGAACAAGCGAGGAGGGAGCGAACAGGAGAGGAGGGAGCGACCAGGAGAGGAGGAAGTAAACAGGGGAGGAGAGAGTGAACAGGCGAGGAGGGAGCAAACAAGGAGAGGAGGAAGTAAACAGGTGAGGAGAGAGTGAACAGGCGAGGAGGAGGGAGTCATGTCTTTCCTCTTGCTCCTCAAATCAGAATGACTGGAAAAGTTCTGTGGGACAAATCAAAGTCTGTGGGTGCCCACTGTGGCTTCTCTCTTGTTTAGTCAGATCATTAAAAAAAATAAATAAAATTTGGCCCATTTTCTGTCATGTAGTTGCTCCATTGCTCTGTCCTTCTCAGAGTGACCGCGAGAACAAAGTGCAGCTTAAACTGTGCTGTGGTCCGACTCAGGATTATTTCTGTCATGGAACGAGTTGAGGCTTAAAGATGGAGCTAGATTCAGCTCAGGATTTCGGGATAAACCTGGATTTAAGCCACTTTGATGGAATACCCCCTGACCTGCAAGATAAAGCTTACAAACCCCAAGAATTCATCAGTGGCTCAGTGGCTCGCGCTCGTGTGATACATCGTGGGCTACCAGCAGCTCAGACCAGTCACGTCGCAGTATTGTAGTTTGGGGCAGAGCCAAAGGTGAAGCCCCCAAACAAACCACAACAAGCATAGGCACAGAAGGATATTAATACAGCCTATTTTAGCAGTGCGGACTATTCTGTCTGTGAAAAACGTACAAAAGGAAGTGCTTTGTGCATTCATGGAGAGAAAGATGTCTGTGCTTTTCTCTCTTTTTGCTCTGGTTTATCACCTTGTTGAGCTGTTCTCTCTTTTCATTGAGAGCCACTCCAGATCGGTAAACGTGGAGAGCTCTGAGTGCCACACTTCCTGATCTGGAAAAGGCAGGATAAGTAACAACTAGAAAAACATGACAATCTGTCATATGCTTTTATCCTCTACCCAATGTGTGATACAAAACCACTGGAATAATGCAGCTTATTTACATTTTACAAAGAGTTTTAACATCTGTTTGACTTGAATTTCAGAGATTTTATTGGAAAAAGTACTTATAGTAGGTTGTTACATGGTATTTTAAAGGTGCACTGTGTAACTTTTCTGGTGGAGTGATGTGGAGTGATCAAATATATCTTGTATTTATTCAATTACAGGTGTTTATATTATATATATATATTTTATCTCAAAACTACAGGCAAAACATGCATTACTGTATTATTGTAAGCAGGTCCACTTCTCCGCAGATCTGACCTGTAACTTGGACCCTCTAACAGAAAAGTTACACAGTGTGGCTTTAATGTACTTTAGTATTAATTCATGTAATTTAGTATTTATGACTGGGATAGTTATAAGTTATGGTACTATTGTGAACAAATTTAGATACACATTTAAAAGTGCACTATGAATCCGTGTATCAGTTGTTCATTCATTTTTCAACAAAAAAACAACTATTTTCTTCATTATTTGTCCCCAAAACCAAAATGAAAAAACAGATAATGATTATTTTGGTTATGGTTTAGTCCTGGTTCAATCCTGGTTCAGTCCTGGTTTAGACAGGTTTTAGTCCTGTTTTAGTCCTGGTTCAATCCTGGTTCAGTCCTGATTCAGTCCGTATGCGGCACGAAAGTCCGGCATCACAGTTTAGGTCATGGAAACAGGAAACGGTTGTCCTTTTTTTCCAATATTCATATAAATACAAAATCAAAAACTGAAAAAAATGAATCATCATCTGTTTTTTTCATTTTAGTTTTGGAGACAAATAATTAAGAAAATTGTTGTTTTTGTTGTTTTCTTATTTTTGTTTCATTTTGAAAAACAAACAAACAAATGACACACGGATTAGTGTGTAACTTTTTTGGGTAAGGTATGGGTCCATCACCTGCTTGTTTCTATGGAGATGTCATTGCTCTGCCTGGAATGTTCCACAATGTGACATTAAACAGCTCTAACTTACCTTTATTCAACTACATGTGGTTTCATAGTTCAAAAAAACCTAGAAAAACTGACTGTGAGTGGGGTGGCCTCTCCACAGATGTGACCTGTAACTTGGTCTGGTTTGTTCTCCATGAAGATAGAAAGGTTTAATTCCATACTATGAAACATTCCAGACAAAGCAATAACATCTTTGACGGACCCTCCACCAGAAAAGTTACACAACGCACCTTTAAATTGTATTCATACTTTGGTTATTTGATTCTCTAAGTATTTCTAAACGCATTTCTTTGAGCCAGAGCGCCGTGTTGGTGGTACAAACAATTTAAGAACGACAATGCCAAAACTGACCAGAATGGACCTTGATAAAGCTAACGTGTATTATAGCTCTATTACTCTAAAAATCAGTGTATTCTGATTGAAAAACAAAGCACAATGAACTTTCTGTAGTAGTAGTAGCAGTGTAATTTTGTGTTTTCAGCCAAGTGTAAATACGCGGTCTGTGCCTTTGGTGTGAATCGGGCTGAAGAAGTATTACGAGAGAATACGAAAGTGGGTGTAGAATCAGACCTGGAGCATTACGTAGGGCTGTGAAATGAAGAAAATGTTAAAGTTCATCCTGTAACTTTTTGGTTGGGGATCTGTCACTTGCTTGTTTCTATGGAGACGTCATTGCTCTGCCTGGAATAGTATGACATTAAACAGCTCTACTTTACATGTATTCAATTACAGATGGTTTTATAGAGCATAAATACTGAGAAAAACAGACATTGTGACTGAGCAGTGTCGCCTCTCCACAGATCTGGCCTGTAACTAATGCCATACTGTCAAACATTCCAGACAATACAGTAACATCTCCATGAACAAAAGCATATCAGACACCAGAAAAGTTACACAATGCAGCTTTAAATCATGATACAGTTTCACAACATTGTACGATCTCTATAGTTTAAACTGAGCTGGAGGACAGGTTAGAATTCTGTGGTGGAGTTTGCAGTTTAACTCTCAGATTGCAGATTTTTTGAGCTGGTTTATGTTTAAAGAGGAGGTATGACACTTCTATGGGGTATTAACCTAGCCGTGAAACACAGCCGGTTTCACTTTGTGGAAAATGTCTGACCTCGCAGTGTTAGAATCCGTTCGTTCAACAGTAGACTGGTACTTTTTTAATTTAACCAACTGCTGCTATTTGGTCGTGACGTATGTAATGCGCCAATAACTGGACTAACTGGTATATTAAGCTTTTCCCAAATCCCGTAGGAAGAAGGACAATAACGTCTTTCTCCTTGATAAAATTCACCAAACATTCTCTTTGTTCCGGCTTTAAATCCTCGATCTCGGGAATCGTTGCCAACACAGAATGTCTGGCTCTTCGCTGCTCTGATTGGCCGGTGCCTGGACTCGCACTTCCAGGGTTTTTGTGAATCGTCTAGTGTATTCTGATTCCTGACCTAGTCGCTGGAGAGAAATGAAATTGATCAGAGGCATTAGGTGGCACCAGCCTGGCTAGTATTAACCTCTAAAACAGAATAAATTTAGATCTCCAAGCGACCTTTTATTGTTTTGAAAATGCTATATTCACCGAAAACAACATATTAACATAAGTTTAATAGGTTTTAGTTTCGTTTTTAAAGCTCAGAGTTTCCCTTCCATTTGCTCTCCATGCTAAGTCACCCACCCTTCAGAGCACTGTGGATCCCACTGATGAAACTATTACACATCACGTCAGATTTGTGACATGATTTTGTACTTTACTAGAAAATGGCCCCGTGGAAGCATTAATTCATTCATTCATTAAATCATTGCGTTTATACAGCACCTTTCCAGACACCCAAAGTGTTTTACAGCTCATTGTTTGTTCACTCCACACTCGGTGATGGTAAGATACTATAGGCTCTATTCACACTCCAAACCAGGAAGACGTTTGGAAAGATGCGATGACAACTTCCCAAGCCCAGTTTTCTTCATCTCCATGTCATTCTAGTGTTCCGTTCTGTTGGGCTAATCAACAATTCCAACCAACACCTAAGTTTTCATCATTTCTCCACTGACACACAACTGCGAGTGCACTGGGTACATGTGATTAGAAGAGATGAGGCGCCAAATTCCAGATGATTCCAAAAAGCACATTTGTCTGCAGTCTTCATTTTACCTCTGATCACATTTACTTCAGTGGGTTTGATCACAGTCGGTCGTTGAGCCAAGTGTCGGGAACTACACCGGATGGAATGTTAATATTATTTTAAAGGTACACTGTGTAACTTGTCTGGTGGAGGGTCCGTCACCTGGTTGTCTCCATGGAGATGTGCCTGGAATGTCCAACAGTATGGCCATAAACTTAAGAATCTTCATAGAGACTTATAAGCCAAATGACAGTTGTAATTGGATGTCTCCAAACATCTTTCTGTTTTGTGACGTAACGTGAATAGAGCCTATTGTAGCCACAGCTGCCCTGGGACAGACATACAGAAGCGAGGCTGCCAATCTGAGCCATTGGTCCCTCTGACCATCACCATCACTCATGCCCACACCACTCTCATACTAGTATACTAGCCAATGCAGGTGAAGTGTCATGCCTAAAAACACAACAACAGTTTTT